TAAACATTTTACTAAGTTAACCACTGTTTTGATATCTTTCAAAAGAAGTGAGATATATAGGCTCAAAGTGGACGTTCCGGGTGTCGTTCTATTATAGGTTTTACGGTAGCAGGAAACCATAAAAAAGTCTAAAAATTTCGCGAAAAATCGGAGAAAAAATCAAATTTATTCTCATTTTTCGAAGTTTTCGGTTTTGGTGGGAACTCAAAAAATAGAGGTTCGAGAACCTTCCAGAAGATGATAACTGGGATTTTTTAAGGTTTTGCAAACTTTTAAATGGGTTTTTTTCTCGAATTTCCCTCACTTTCTTACCATCATCTCCTGTATAAACCGCCCGTTTCCTCGATCCATCCTCTGACATCACAAATGGCATCAGAACGTTGCCTTCCTCATCCCTAGGATAAATCGGCGCCCCTTGCTCATCCAACGGCAGCACTACACGACCTAAAATCGCTAATTTCAGTTTCAAAATTCGAAATTCTTGCAAAAAACCAGAAATAACAAGGCCCAAGGGTTGAATAGGTATATCTCCTTCTCGCAGATTCACAGGCTAGAAAAGTTCGGGATACATAAAATTGGAAATTTTAGAAATTTATAGAAGATTCTAGAACATACCGGTGACATCACATGGGACATACGCTCCATACTCCTCATAAATTCGCGGAAATACCGGTTTCCCGTCGTCTCCTAATGGGACACAAATCGCTCCAGAATCGTCGACCGGGAATAGAGGATAGCCTTCGTAGAATGGAAAAATCTGAAATTTCAGAGTTTGAAAATGTATTTTTCTACTTTTCTAACCGTTTTCCCTTTATCATCTTTAGGAAGAATCGGTCGTCCTTCATCGTTCATCGGAAAAATCGCCTGATGAAGATAGTTGAATCCAACGAACGATGGGGCTTGTGGTGGGATGCTGATGCGGGTGTAATCTGGAAAATTGCGCTGGAAACTTCAAAAAAAATGCCTGAAAATCACTACAAACCACTCTATTATCGCCTAAATTGGTCAAAAAGTTGGCCAAGGAACATACCAGTAGTATCCTTGAATCCATCGAAGAGAAACTCGAAACATCTCGACTCGTTGTTCAATTTATACCAATACCCCGACAAATCCTTGGCAAAAACGGAATTTGCGATTTTATGAAAGCTATATCCGTTATTTGCCACCTCAAACGCATTTGCCACCTCTTTTCGCCAGTGAATTTCTGTACAAGGCTCTGCTGGGATTTCTGAGAGATTCGGGTAGTCAGTGCCAGCAGGAAGGCCGATTCCGAGGACTGTCTGAAAGATAAATTAGCTTAACTTAGAGAAAAAAAGAAAAATTCGATTTTTCTGCATTTTTCCTCTCTTAAAACTCACTTTCGCCTTTCTCCGTTTTTCTGAATCTGCTGTTTCAATGATATCGGTCATTTTTCGAGTCTCCCGGAAAATCCCCTGAAAAACATAAATTTCGGCAATTTCGAGAATATAAAAATTTATTGTTAGCCTCTTAAATTGTATTTTCATCTTTAAAAATGTCAAAAAATCTGAAAAAAAAAACAAAAAATGCAAGTTTTATTCAGCAGAGAAAAATCACCTCAAAAATTGGGTTTTTGACAATTTTCGAGATTTAAAAGAGTGATTTATAGGTCATTCAAGCCTTCTAAATTATATTTTCAGCTTTAAAAAATTCAAAAAATCTGAAAAAATACTAAAAAAGGCAATTTTTATTCAGCAGCAGTCTCTAGAGACGTTGCAAATTCCAGACTCCGCCCCTCTGCAAAGCGCCGCGCGGGGTTTCGCAACACTGCGGCAGGGAGAATGGGTTTTCGTTATTTTTTGGTGAGGGTAATTTAGATGTTTTTTTCTCGAAGAATAGGCCATCAATCTGAATTATTGAGTTGAACAAAACTTTTTAAATGAAAGAAATATTCCAAAAACAAATATAACGATAATGCAGAAAAGCTAGCTACAACTCCCAGATTTTGAAATATATAATTCAAATTTTCACACTTTGCAATTGCGCTCTACTGAGAGAAAATGGAAAATGGGCTCGATTCATGACTCATGAAAAGGGACATCACAAGTTTATCTATCTATCAACACAGATCAGAGCAAATGGCTCCAAACACCTGACGCAAGGAGAGAGCACGAGATTGATAAATTGGGGAAAAAAGGAATAGAAGAATCTTCAAGAAACTAAAACTCTTTTTCTTTTTCTTCTAAGCTTCTAACAATGTTCATCAATCTTTTGATCCTTTTTCTAGTATTCTGGAATTCCGGGAATTCTCAAATTCCTCATGTGAGTCTTTGGAAATTCAAATTTGGAATTTTTCAAAAAAAAGCAATTCTAGGAATTCCAACGAGCTCTGAAACATGCAAAAAGTCTGGATGGGCTTTTAAAAGATCTTCATGTGATTTACAATCCAGAATTGACGAATCGCCACGTGGAGAAGACTACAAGTAGTGGGGAGAAAGGAGGTAAAATATTGGCAGCTGAATTATCGTTTTTTTTTTTCGAAAAATCCCTATTTTTAGGTCTCTTTTTCGAATTTTCATGGCCTGCTAGCGTTGGTCATGTTTCTTTGAGATTAATTATCTCGGTTCCTGTTAAAGATATGAAAAAGTTGTCAACTGAAAAATTGTTCATCATACTGCCACTAACATTTTATTAGTTGACAACTTTACGATATATTTTGAAGAAACCGAGAAAAATTAGTCCAAAGCTGAAATACGGTCTGAGCTTGCCGGCCCACCTCTATTTTTGAATCCATATATCTCGCTTCCTGTAAAAGATATCAACAAAATGTCAACTGATAAAACGTTGTTGACATTGTGATAAACATTTTATCAGTTAACAATTTTTTGATATCTTTTACAGGAAATGAGATATATAGGCTTAAAGTTGTTGATTATATTTCCAGCAATGCTCTCCCTAAAATCCGGCTCGATGTCTGCCCAACGTATCATTTCGCTTCAGAACATCTCCAACCAAGAAATGGATGGCTACACTTTGTTTCATTTGCAGAGCATGAAAGATATAAAACAGGGAAATGACACTTGTAACCTTCAAAATGTTTGTGTTCCGGTCCCTCAGCTATCCGATGATCCGCAGTTGTTGATCTATCCCAAGTGTTATGAGGTATCGTAATTTTGAATCATTTTATCTCAGCTCTTGTAAAATATATCAAAAAGTTGTCAACTGATAAAATGTAGGTAATATCACAATAAGCATTTTGTTAGTTAAATTCTTTTTGATATCTTCCACAGGAAGTGAAATATATGAACTGAAAGTTGAAAGGATGGCGCGAGCTAGGGCGCGGTAGGACCTCTCAACTTCGACCCAATTTATCTTGCTTCTTGTGGAAAATATTGAAAAATAGTTAACTAATAAAATTAAGGTGATATTATGATAACCATTTTGTTAGTTAACAACTTTTTTTATATCTTTTACAGGAATTGAGAGAAATTAGCTCAAAGTTGAAAGGATTGCCGGCAGAGGCGGCCGCTGACTTCTCAACTTTTATCTCGGTTGCTGTAAAGATATCAAAAAGTAGCCCACTAACAAAATGTTTATCATAAAATCAGCAATATTTTATCAGTTGACAAGATTTTGATATATTTTCCAGGAACCGAGTTATGCGCCTTTAAATCTCTCTTTTAGGTCAAACAATGTGTTGGAAGCTGCTGTAACTCGCTAGAAACTTGCCATCCAGGAACAATCAACCTCGTTAAAAAGCATGTAAGAATTCGAAATTTTTTCTAAAACCTGTAAATTGTTCTCCAGGTCGCCGAACTTTTGTACATCGGAAACGGCCGTTTCATGTTCAACATGACCCGAGAAATCACTATGGAGGAGCACACATCGTGCTCTTGCTTCGATTGTGGTTCTAACGTAAGTTTTTGAATAATTTTCTGAATAAATTCAACTTTTTGAGACCCCGGTTTGCGCTCCAGGCTTCGTTGTTGGTAGATCTTGTAAGTGTGAGTGTGCCAACAAGGAGGAGAGGAACAATTGTGTGGGTGAGTTTTTGACCAAGGTGCTGTCAGAATGAGGTTAGAATTTGGGATTTTTCTGTGGAAAAATGAAGAAAATCGGTTGAGAATTAGCTGAGCTAGCACTATTTTTGTATTTCGAGGTGCGACACGTGGAATTTTGGTCTGCTAATTATTTTGCAGGCCAATGAGAGACGCAGAGAAGTAGACACTGGTCTGCTAATGTTTAGAAAAGCATTTCTTTCTCTGCGTCTCGTTGGCCTGCTAGTGTTCGATTGGCCTGCTAAATAATTAGAAGATCCACGAGAGACGCAGAGAAGTAGACGTTGGTCTGCTAATGTTTAGAACCCTATGAGCGCGCGTTCACTTTAGAGGCGCATATCTCGAAGACTACGATAGCTAGCGAAAAATGGTCAATTACAGGAAAATGTAAAATTTTATGCTGAGCAATTTTGTAGTTGAAAAAATTTTGATAGCTGTCATCATTCTTGAGATACGCCCCTTGAGAGGTACGCCCCCTAAACAATTAGCAGACCAACGAGAGGCGCAGAGAAGTAGACATTGGTCTGCTAATGTTCGAATTCCAGGAAATGCCACGTGGAATTCCGAAGCTTGCAAATGTGATTGCAACTTGAAGTGCGACGAAGGACGTGTGCTTCACAGTGGAAACTGTGAATGCGTTAGAAGACGTCATCACGGAGGGGCTAAGCACGGACATGGCCATCGCCATCATCACAGATCTAGACCTATTGAGGAGGTGGAAGTGGAGAAGATTGCAAAGTTGCAAGTGGGAAGAATCGGAGGCTAACTTATATTATTTGCTCAATTTCTATTAAATTTTTAATTAGCTAATAAAAAAAAGCTTTCGACACAAATAATCAAAACTCTTATTACAGTATTAAACAATGGAATTACACGTAGTTGTTGTCTTGCATAAACAATGAGCTAGAATAAAATAAAACAGAGAGAAATCGTTATTTAATATCCACATTACTCGAATCGGAACTTTCTGGAGATGGGGAACGGCTGACAGATGGGCTCGACGATTCCTTTCGGTATTTGCTACGAGTTGATCGGCGCGAGTCATCGGTTTCATCAGTGGACGATCGGCGGATCGGAGAATCTTCTAGAGAGGGGCGACGACGGATCGGAGAACGATTGTGTTCACGGGGGCGTTTGCAGGAGACGGATCTTCTCTGGAAATTGGAATTTGTTTTTTTTTTCAAAAATTCTTGAAAATTCAGCGAAAATTATGAATTTCGCTGATTTGAGCGAATTTCAGTATTTTTTTCTTGCATTTCGACGCCAAATTCAAAAATTTGAGTTAAAAATCTCACCTCATCCCTAAATGCAACTCTCTTCAAGTCTCTTCCACCCGAACTTCTACGAATCGGTGACATCGATCGCTGACGAGTAAATGATCGATTTTTGATATTATCCGCAAATTTGTGTGGGTTCGGCGTGCCAAGACGAACATTTATGTATCTAGTTTCTCCCTGAAAATTTTGAAAATCTTCTGTTATATAGCCTAACTCACTCTATGCGATCGGAAAAGCGATTGATGATATCTTTTGACAGCATATTCCGCGCCTCTTTGATCTTCAAACTCCACATAAGCTCGGTCGGTTTTAAAATCCACATTTGTCGATTTAATACCATGAGTGTCTCTCATATGATCTTTAACATCTTGCCATGATGCACTCGATGGAAGATTATCGACAATCACGAGGAATTTCAATGGGCGGAGCTTCGATTCTTTGGGAATTTCAAACGCGTCGTATGAGTAACTCCATGGCTCGACGAATCCTGTCGTCAGGTCGGTGTAGACACGGAAATTGCCAACAACCGCGTTGTTGACACCGTAGACTGCGAAATCGGCGTCGCTGAAAGCCAATTTCAGCATAAAATATTCGATACTTAATGGTGTTGTCAGTGTGGCATTGAGGTTAGAATTTGGGATTTTTCTGTGAAAAAAAAGAAGAAAATCGGTTGAGAATTGGCTGAGATATTGTCTATTCAAAATAATCGCGCGGGTGAACGAGTAAAAAAACGTGTAGAGAGTCTCCAAACCTGTAGAGGCGCTGTAGAGACGCAGACATTTTTACTCTCTCACCCGCGCGATTATTTTGAATAGACAATAGCACTATTTTTGTATTGCGAGATGCGCCACGTGGAATGTGGGTCTGCTAATTATTTAGCAGGCCTACGAGAGACGCAGAGAAGAAGACATTTTCTGCTAATGTTTGGAAACGTCTGCTAATGTTTAGAAACGTGGAATTTAGGCATGCTAATGATTAGCAGACCAACGCACTCGATCTCTTTCTTTCTCTGCGCCTCGTTAGAAAACAATGCTCACCTGCTCTCTCTAAACTGAACAAAAGCGATTGCACACCCGAATTCGCGTTTAATCTTTATATTTCGAATGAATCCGTACTGCTGAAACATGTCTTCCACCTGACTTTCTTTCGTTTTAAACGGCAAATTCCCCACGAATACGGTGTCCAGAACTTCGTCAGTTTCCGGCAGCAGCATTTGTCTGAAAATTTCAGTTTTTTTTTCATTCAAAATCTGGGAGACAAATTAAAAAGGAGGGTAAAAGAGAAAAAGAGGAGAAAAATCGGGTTGAAAAACAGCGAGAGGACAAAAATGTGCACCGGCGGAAAGCAGAAAGTTTTCGCGGTAAAAAGATCAAAAGGAAGTTTATCGTATTTTCCGGTAAATAGCTTCCACGAGGCAACCTAAAACAACAGAAACAAATTTTACAGGACTTTTTAAAGATTACATTAACCCAAAAACGTGAATATCGATTTTTCGAGCTGTAGCGCTTTTGGCGCGTTTTCTAGGTCGTTCCAACCGAAATTGCGTAGTTTAAACTATAGTTTTGAAGATGTTTATAAATAAAGAGAATTTTGCAAAACCTAGCAAAAAGAAAGCGATAAATAGAAGGCATGCTAATAATTAGAGGCGCGTGTGGGAGTGATGAGTCAGTAATATTTAGATGAAATTTTTTGTTATCAGTGGGAAATGCGGTAGAGAATAGTGATAGGAAAGTGCTTTGCAACGAGAATAAACTCTTTGGCGCTTTTGATTTACTATTAGATCGAATTTTCTGAGTAAATCAACTATTAGCAATACTGGAAACCTGGAAATTTGCAAAAATCGATATTTTGCATTGTACCTTTCTTTGTGCATAACAATACGAAAAATGTAGGTTTTGTCATAAAATTTGTCGCGAGACATAGAAATGTCGTTTTTCTTCAAAAAAAGGGAAAATTCTGCGCCTAGTGACTACTGTATTGTTTAAATGATTATTTTATTTCTGTAGTTGTCGTTACGGGACCTTCGTAGCTCCGATTTTCGAACCATTTTCATAAATAGCAGATAAATTTGATTTTCGAACTTAAAAAAAATGCAAAAATCGATATTTCAATCATAAAATTTGTCGCAAGACATAAAAATGTGTTTTTTGAATAGAAAATGCTGAAAATATTTTTTTTAAAAACGAAGAATTTTCAGTTTTGGCGGGAATTTGGAAAAAATTCGAGAAAATTCTGTTAACACCTATTTTCTCTTCCGCTTCCCCTAATGACGTATGAAGTGCGAAAAATGGGGCGGAGTTTCCCAAGGGGGCGGGATTAGTCGATTTGTTTTAAAATATGTATTTCCCTGAAAAATCTAGCTGCCAAAATATCTAAATTTCAATAAAAATTCCAAAAAAATCTTTATCAACAATTTTTAAAAATGTAGATCACAACAATTCATCAGTATCATCATTCAAACTGGACGTTTCGAAACTGGTATGTGCTTGCTTTTGAAGCGGAGACTTTTTGCTGAAAAAAAAAACTACAGTAATCCAAAAATCCAGGTTCTCGAGAGTATTACCTTAAGGCTTGTAACCGGGTCACATCTAGATGTGTAGTATCGATTGATTTGGATTTCGAAAGACGGGAGGCTTTGACTTTTAGGTTGTTCCAGCTCAGTTTTGAGGTGCTCGGGAGGAATGAAAGTTTTCTGAAATGAAATTAAATTGCGCTAAAATTACCATAACTCTGAGGTCAATTATCTCTGTTCCTATGAAAGATAACAAAAAGTGGTTAACTGATAAAATAGTTCTGATATTATGATTAACATTTTATCAGTTACCCACTTTTTGGTATCTTTCGAAAGAAATGAGATATATGCTCTCAAAGTTGCCGGCTTGGATAATTTCAAAAACTCACAATCTGCCATTGGAATGTATAGAGGATATACTCATATTCCTTTGACCAGACTGAAACATTTGAGGTACTGGAAACTCTTGGTGGAGAAGAGCCGAATTTTTGAGACGACGTTCCGCCATCGCGGTTTTTTTCTTGTTTCGAGCTGAAAATGTTCTTTTTTTTCTGAAAATTTCGATTTTCAAAAATTATTACACGACGTCTTCTGATTGATATCGGTATGACCTGTCTGGTAGCCAGCGTTTCGAAGGATTCCAAGAAGTTCGTAGCGAAACGCGCTGATGTCCTGAAAATTGCGATTTTTTGGATTTCTTGATTATTTCGAAATTAAAAAACTCCAAAAATCAATTCTCGGAGAGCCAAGTTAGTGTATATTTTTAGCTCAATTATCTCGATTTCTGTAAAAGATATCAAAAAGTGGCCAACCGAGAAAATGTTTATCATAATATCCTTAACATTTTATCAGTTTACCACTTTTTGATATCTCTCATAAGAAAAAAAATCTAGGTCACGACCCAAAAAATCTAGGTCATGACCTAAAAAATATAGGTCATGACCTAAAAAATATAGGTCATGACCTAAAAAATCTAGGTCACGACCTAAAAAATCTCGGTCATGACCTAAAAAATATAGGTCATGGCCTAAAAAATATAGGTCACGACACAAAAAATTCTAGGTCATGACCTAAAAAATCTAGGTCACGACCTACGACGGAAATGCCATAAACGGCTTTAAAGGCGCATATCTCAAAAACTGGGAGAGCTAGAAAAAGTTGTTAACTACAAAAATGAAGATCTTCTTTTGTTTTATAAAACCTGAATTTTTCAACAAAAAAGCTCCCAAACCTGCTTAATTTCATTGACATCATCCTCTGAGACACCTTCGCTTTGTTGCTTCATTCGTTGCATCTGAGCAATGTAGCGTTGGACCAAGTTTCGGGTCACAAACTGGAAATTTTTGAGGTTTTATGCTTCAAAAAAAAATAAATTCGATGACAAATTCAAAATCAGCACAAAAAATTATACCTAATAGTCTCAAATCATGGAATTTGAATTTTCCAAAAGTTTTCAATATCAATTATCTCGGTTGCTGTGAGAGATATCAAGAAGTTGTCTATAAATAAAATATTGCTGATATTATGATAAATATTTTATCAGTTGACAGATTTTTGATATCTTTTACAGGAATCGAGATAATCAAGCTCAAAGTTGGCTGTTCGAGTGGGCTTCTAAGAGAGTAGTACTGTAATCACTGCAAAAACCAAAAACGATAAATTTACAAGTTCCCAAAAACAAAAAACAGGTGTTTTACAATAAAATTGTGCTCTGCAGTGGCTAGTTTCCGCACAGTTCTCTGAAAAATTCAAATTGTTTCTAGATTTCTAAAATTTTGAAAAAATTTTTGAATCCTTTTTTTTTCAAAAAAAAAATCTAATACTCACCCGATAATTGTTCTCTCTATCGTTCACCGATCGCAGAATTTTTTGATTCTGAAAATTGAAATTTTAAAAAAATTTGAATCCGTATTACCGCATAAGCAGACCGTATAAGCTCTAGCACAAGCCCAACCGTCAATTTTGAGCTAAATTATCTCGGTTTTTTTAAAATATATCAAAAATTTGTAAACTTATAAAATACTACTGATAATATGATAAACAGTAGACTACTTTCTGCTATCTTTCATAGGAACCGAAATATATGCGTTCAAGTTGACAAGTGGGCGCTTGTCGGCTGAGGAGCTACGCGGGCGGCTAACTTTGAGCCAATTTATCTCGGTTCTTTTAAAAGATATCGAAAGCTTGTTAACCTATAAAACATTACTGATAATCTGATAAATATTTTATCAATAGACAATTTTTTGATATCTTCCACAGGAACGGAGATAATTGAGCTCAAAGTTGAGAAGGCAGCGCTTGCCGGCTGAGCTACGAGGTGGCTGCCGAGCTTTGAACATCAAGGCAATTTATCTCGGCTCCTGTAGATGGTATCAAAAATTTGTCATCTAATGAAATATACTTGATAACCTGATAAAAATTTTATCAGTTGGCAATTTTTTGCTATCTTTCATAGCAACCGAGATAATTGAGCTCAAACCAACCCTCATGCTTTTCTGCTTGCTAGGCTGTTGTAGTTTTGTGCAGTTACACAGCTTTTTTGTCAGATAGTTCAAGCCTGGAATTTTCTTATTATTCTTTCTAGAATTAAATTTTTAAAATTACAGTAATATATCGATTTTGGAGATGGGACAATGTTAAAAGGAGGTGGTAGAGTGGCAGTGTCATCGAAGTATTCTGAAAATTGAAAAATTAAAAAATCTGGAACTTCAGTCAAACCCAAAAACAATCGACTCCTGGCGAATTTCCATTCGATATCAGCCTGATCCGAAATGTATTGATATGAATTGCTCATCATAGCAATTAGCATATTTAATAGAACTATAATTGAACAACAACAATAACTTCCAAATATCGTTTTCCCCGTCCATTCGGACAAAAAATGGTCTTCTTTTAGACGAAAATGGGTCAAATCCACTAAGCCAAATAGTGCCCAGAACAGAGTTTCAGCAGTGTGGTAGATGCTGAAATTTTTAATATCAAAAGTTTGTAAACTAATGAAATATTGCTGATAATATGATAATATTTTATCAATTTACAAGTATTTGCTAGCTCTAATAGGAACCGAGATAATATGGCTTACAGTTGAGAGGTCAGCAGCCGACTGCGTAGCTCAGCCGGCAATCGCCGACTGTTTAACTTTGAGCTCAATTATCTCGGTTTCTGTAAAAGATATCAAAAAGTAGTGAACTATTAAGATGCTTATCACATTATCAGTAATATTTTAACAGTCGACAGATTTTTTATATCTTTTACAAGAACCGAGATAAACTGGCTTAAAGATAGGAGGTCGGCGCTCGCCGGTTGAGCTATGCGGTTGGCTGCCGATATCTGAACTTTGAGTCCAATTATTTCGATTTCTGTAAAAGATATCAAAAAGTGGTAAACTATTAAAACGTTTATCATGTTATCAGTAATATTTTATCAATTGACAGATTTTTGATATCTCTTATAGGAACCGAGATAATTGACTTCAAACTCACCTCGAACAAGATTTGTATTTATCATCACACGACTCTTTCAAGTGCTCATATTTATAGCTCAACGATTTCTCATTTTTGTATTGCTCATACAGATTGCACTCGTTTTGTCGCATCGATGCGTAGTACCTTAAAATATTAAGAATTTCTGTTTCAACAAGTTTTAGGAGCTTACCATAACAACTGATTCAAACCACAGGCAAATGCAAATAGGACCAACGCGTAGACCATGAAAAATTTTACAATGTCAATTACCATTCGACCTGAAATTTCAGAATTTTCAAATTTTTTGAATTTCCCGCCAAACCACTCACCTAACGATATTTTCAGTGGTCCCAAGTGTGGACTAACGGTGAAGATATGAACCAGTTTCAATGACGAAAAAATATTTGCAGTTGCGAAAAAGCATTCAGAGAGAAGTGTCGGATCCCAGGCGTCCCAGTCTCGCCGTGGCAGATGACGTGCGATGTGAACGGAATTCGCTTGTAGTGCTTCTTTCTCTACCTGGAATTGATTTTAGAAATTTTCGGATCGGACCTCAAAAAGCCCCCACAAGTTTTGAGCCCAATTATCTCGGTTCCTATAAGTGATATCAAAAAGTGGTCTACTGTATAATGTTGGTGATAAACTGATAAACATTTTATCAGTTGGAATTTTTTATATCTATTAAAAGAGCCAAGATAAATAGGTTCAAAGTTAAGAGGGCGGCAGAGGATCCCGCAGGTAAGCCGGAAAGCACCGACTACACACTTTAAGCCAACTTATCTCGGGTACTGTGAAAGATATCAAAAAATTGTCAACTGATAAAATATTCATCATGATATCATCCACATTTCTTTAATTGACAATTTTTTGATATCTCTAATAGGAACCAATATAATTGAGCTCAACGTTAAGCTTACCTGCACATAGGAGACCACTCGCAGCGCCGTTGTACATAAATACAGAGAATTCGTGATAAAATCCAGAATATTCCATAAATTACGACAGTAATTATAGAGACCGCACTCCCAGAGTTGCTTGATTTCCACCCAGATTAGTCCTGAAATCATCAATTTTTAATTATCCAATTTTTAAAGCCCTAATAGATCCCTTATGACTTTCAAGCCAATTTATCTTTGTTCCTGTAAGGGATATCAAAACTTTGTCAACTGATAAAATAATTTTCGTTTTATAATTGACAATTTATCAGTTCACACATTTTTGATATCTTTTACAGAAACCGAGATAAACTGGTTCAAAGTCAAGACGTCGGTAGGTCATCGCGTAGCTCTACCGGCAAGCGCCGACTTTGAGCCAATTTATCTCGGTTAATGTAAAAACTATCAAGGAGTTGTTAACTAACAAAATGTTTACCATAATAGCACCAATATTTTATCAGTTTATCACTTTTTGATATATTTTACAAAAACCGAGATAAATTGGCTCAAAGTTAGGTGGTCGGCGGGCGACCGCGTATGGGTTCAAAGTTAAAGTTAGGGGCTTTTCTATTACAGGTTTTAGGATAGACTGAATCCCAAAAAACTAACCTAGCACCCATAAAAATATGGCACATTCTATTACTGTAGGCGGTGGTCCACGCGTCTCCTTCCGATCCACATCATCGGTCCGAAGCAGATTATCGATGACGTTCATCCGTTGGCTAGCCATGATAAGAAGTACTGTAGTTCACCATTTTCGAAATTGGGCTTTTGAGAATTTTGGGAACTCACTTAAGAAAAAAATATAGCTCCCAGAATGTGATAAAAACTTGATGAATGGTTTTTTGGCAAACTGTCCCATTGAAGAGTGAGGAGCCAGAAGGTAGACCAAGGAGAATAATGGGAAACTCATCATTCCCAATAGGTAGAAAATTAGCTGGAATTTTTTTTGATTTTTTGCACCTACAGCAGGATCCCTACCTTGTATATAAAATTAGTGCACCTCACCGACTCGACACCTTCATACCAAATGTCTAGAAGCAGTTGTTGGCAGTTGGGATGGGCCACGAACTGAAAGATATTATATTGTCAAGCCTTTATATCTCGGTTCCTAGAAAAGATATCAAAAATGTGTCAACTGATAATGCGCTTTTCGTATTGTGATAAACATTTTATCAGTGAACAACTTTTTCATATTTTTGATAGGAATCGAGATAAGTTGGCACAAAGTTGAATTCTCGAAAACCCAACTCACTCTTTTCTGGGATAGTTGAATCGCTAGCTTCAGACGAGCTAGCTTCTCAGGGTTTCCATAGTTGGCGGATGTCACATCATGCCAGGCATTGGTTGTATGGTTCAGGACCACTTCTAGCTCTTTGGATCCTCGTACTTGGTCCAGCATGTGGACACAGAATTTTTGACATTTTTGGGAGAGTTCCTGAGAGAAATACCGTGATATCTCTAGTAGCAAGACTCTATCTTTGAGCCCATATATCTCAGTTCCTGTAAAAGATATCAAAAATTGGTCCACAAATAAAATATTGGTTATGTTTTCATCAATAATTTATCAGTTGACCACTTTTTGATATCTTTTACAAGAAATGAGATAAAGGCGCTCAAAGTTGACAAGTCGGCGCTTGCTGACTGAGACACGGTCTGCTACCGAATTCCTAACTTTAAGCCCAAATATCTCGTTTCCTGTGAAAGGTATCAAAACATTTTTAACTAATAAAATGTTTTTGATATTATGATAAACATTTTATCAGTTGACAGATTTTTGATATCTTCTACAGGAAGGGAGATATAGGCGCTTAAAGTTAAGAGGTCGGCAGCGGCCGAGCAGCTTGCGATAGTGGTTACGGTAACTTGTTAAATTCGATGCTCACCTCATAGTCAGTTCGAAATTCATTCTCAATGAACGAAAGCCTCTTCAACTCCCAACTCAATTCAAACGCATATAAAATCGGATCTCTTGCAGATAGACAAATCAATGATGGACTCGTCAACGCTCGATATGCATTGATTCTCGACCTGGATAATCTCAACGAGTCTTCTTCTCTTGCCACGTAGCACTCGGGACAACTACATCTGACGTCGTGTGGATGGGGTACTGTGCCCTTCTTGTCCAGAAATAGCTTAATACACTCGTAATTGTCTTTATGAGCGGCTAACACGATTGGAGTAATGTCAGGGGTGAAAGCGGAGTGTTCTGTAATCTCCACACCTTGTCGCTGGAAAATAAATGCATCAGTATCTAGATTAGCAAAATAAATAACCTTAAACTCTTTATTTTTTACTTTTATTAGGATTGCTTAATAATTAGGTCTGCTTAATAGTTAGCAGACCTTGGCGGCAGAGCTAGTCGGCAGCTCTTGAATTTAAGCCAATTTATCTCGCTTCCTGCAAAAGATATCAAAAAGTGCTCAACTGATAAAATGTTTATCATAATATCAGCAATATTTTATCAGTTGACAATTTTTTGATATCTCTTACAAGGCATGAGATAACGGAGCTGAAATTTAAAAGACGGTCGGCGCTTGCTGGCTGATAATGAGCTACGCGGTCGGCTGCCGACCTCTTAACGTTTAAACCTCATATCTCAGTTCCTGAAAAAGATATCAAAAACCGGTCAACTGATAAAGTATTGCTGATATTATGATAAACATTTTTTAAGTTAATATATTTTTGCTATCTTCCACAGGAAATGAGAAATAAGAGTTCAAAGTTGACGAGTTGGATGAGCTACAAATTAGAGGGATTACGGTAATTCCTAGAGATTTGGACTTGTAGTTTTCCAAACCAAATCATATTTATACTCTTTCTAAAGTTCTGAATTTGTACTTTTGAAATATTTTACCAAAATTTCATAGAATTTTCATTTTAGCCCAAAAAACCTATTTGAAAATTTCTTGGAAAAACTAAGTTTTTAAAAATTGCATTCAGAATTTCCAAATCAGAAATCCATTTTGAAGCCCGGAAAACCCTTTTTTGGGATTTTTCACAAAATTTTTGAAAATCTCTATACCTCCGCATCAAACTTGTCCATTTTCTCCAAATGCTCCACAATTATCTCCACCGCTTCAACGTTCTCCTCTCCAATTGCGTAAAGAATAGCGTCGCCTGTCTGGAAATTTAGATTAAAAAAAATTTTAATTGGAAGTTAATATAATTAAAGTCAGAAAATTTGATTAAATTTTTAAAAAAATTGAATATTGAAAAAAATCGAAAATCAATATAAAAATTGGAATCCCTCTAAAAATATAAAGAGCCAGAGGCTGGCGAAAATTTTAATGAGCAACATAAAAACATAAAATTTCGGAGAGAGAACAAAAAATAGATTTTTTTTGGCTTCCTCCTTTTTTTTCGAGATTCATATATAAATTTTTGTATAGAATTTCAAAGAAAACGAAACCTCAATATTGTGGTCCAGCAGTAACTCGATCATCTCAATGTTCTCGTTTTCAATGGCGATAAGAAGAGCATTTCTGCAAAAAATGGGAGGGAAATGGATGGAAAAAAATGTGTGGTATGTTACTTTGGAGAACTTTTTTTTGGGGGGAAAAATGAAACCTTGTTTTCTAGATTAAATAGAATTTTGGGTGCCTAGTTTTAAGACTGAAAAAAATTCAACTTCAATTTGAAACAAAATGGTTTTTCTAAACTTGAGGAGAAAAATTCAATTTCCCATTTTCCGGGACCAATTAAATTGAAAATTGGCGCTTAATGACACCCACAGCCCTTTTTCTGGAATAGTGCAATTTATCTTTTTTTACACCAAAAATGAATAATAACGAAATTTTGAAAATTGCTCTCTTTTTTGAGCTACAAAATTTGGTTGGGTTGAAAATAGAACATTTTCAGATATTTCAAAGTTACTGTAACTTTTTAAACTTTCAGCTAATCAAAGATTTCTAGAAATATTCTTAATTGACATGTTCAGAGCTTCAAAATGAGTATAAACATGACTAGTTTCAAACAATTTCAATGTTCCGATGATGCAAATTCGCTCCACCGGACTTTTTTTTTAATTTTGAGGAAATATGGTGTGTTTATATGGATTTATCTTGAAGTCCTAGTTATAAATGTAAATTTTGAAAAATTCGCTTGTAAAACTTCTAGGAATATATTCATCGGGTTACGGTAGTTTTTTCAGGAAATTCAAACTGTCTACTTTGAGCTCATATATCTTATTTCTTGTGAAATATATCAAAAAAGTGTCTACTGATAAATTATTTAACATTTTATCAGCAAAATTTCATTAGTTGACAAATTTTTGATATCTTTCATAGTAACCGAGATAAATTGTCTCAAAGTTTGGCAGCCGCCGCGGGTCTCAGCCGACAAGCACCAACTTCAAATTTGTTTCATTTCCTGTGAATGATATTAAAAATTTGACAACTGATAAAATGTTGCTAATATTATGACAAACATTTTATCAGTTGACTACTTTTTTATATCTTTTCTAGGAATCGAGATCAATTCGAAAAACCCTCACCTTCCCAACGGATCCAAACAATTGATATTAAAATTCTCGGTTGAAATTCCAGCCAACAGTTTCCGGACACTTCCGATATCTCCTCGCTCACAAGATAATAGAAACTGCTTCTCCCGAAGACGTGACGCATCTGAATCCATCCACGACGCGGCATCTTGACAATCATCGTCTTCTATATTTCGGAAGTCTGAAGCGTTTGAGGTTGACATTTCTGGAATATTACTATTTTTTGAATTAAAAAGAATTGGTTAAAAAATGAAGATAAGAGAAATTTGAGGGTTCCTAAATTTGCAAACTGTCTGAAACTATTGGAAAAAAAATAGAAAATTCTGAAATATTGCAAGTATTCAAAAAAAAGTCTCAAATTCTGAAAAATGGAATGTTTTTGAAAAATAAAAAATTCTGAAAAACTCCAAAAATCCGAAAATTCTAAAATTACGAAAAACAGAAAAATTCAGAAACGTCCAAAAATTGGACAATCTGAAAAATAGCAAAGGTTTGAAATGTAAGAAATTCTAAAAGTTTGAAAAATCAAAAATTTTAAGAAATTCGAAATATCCAAAAAATCGAAAATTCTGAAAAACTTGAAATTAAACGAATTTGGGATTTTGGAAACTGTTGCAAATTAAATCATATGTTGTTAAATTTCAGATTTTCTGAAAATCATATTTTTTAGTTCCAAAATTTATTCTAGAAAAAAAAAGAATTTTTAAGAAAGCAAAAAAGAAATATGAGACTATCGTTTTCAAGATTTTCTTAAACGTTTTTTGTGCTCCAAGGAGCAAAAAAAAGAAAATTTAGGGATTTTTTTTATTTTCAAAAGAGCCAAAAATAATTAAAAAACGGAACATTATGAGTTCTTTTTCTACATAATTCTTTTTCTTCCGCTCATAATTTGCCGCTCTCCAGTCGACGGCAAAAAAGATCCCCCCTTATGTTTTCTCTGCGTCTCTCTATCTCTCACACTCTCTAATTTTTTTGTCGATTATATGACACTTTAGTGGTGGTTGTGGTTTGGGAAAAAGAGAGAAAACAAAGAAGACGAATATTCCAGAGAGAATATAGGGGAGAAAAAATAATTGGTCTGGAAATTTAAAAAAGTTCTATTTAATTAACTCTGAACTTCTTAAATTAATTATTTTCAGAAAAAAACTTTATAGGTTCAAAACGTTTTATTATCTGAAGAAATCTTGAGGACCAAAAAAAAACAAAAGAAAAGTTTTCAGAATGAAAAACTGAAAAGAATTACAACTTGTGAATTTTTCAAAATTTTCCGATAAAACCTAAATTTATGAATTCGGCGCGTTAAAAGCTTCAAAATGAGTATAAACACGACTATGTTCCTTTAAATTTGAAAATTGACCCTTTAAAGGCGCATAGGGGGTCCAAAAATCGATTTTAAGGAAAGTGGGTCATGATTATGCTCATTTTAAAGGTCTCGACACGCCAAATTCAAATATGTAATTATAAAAAACCTTGAACAAAATTTGGCTCAGTTATGATTAATTTTCAATTGTAGCCTGTTCGGACTAGGTTCAAGAAATCCATCGTAACTCGGTGAAATTCTGCCAGAACTATTTTTGTTTCCAGATTTGAATTTTATATGTTATAAGCTTCGAAATGAGTATAAACACGACTATGTTCCTTTAAATTTGAAAATTGACTCTTTAAAGGCGCATAGGGGGTCCAAAAATCGATTTTAAGGAAAGTGGGTCATGATTATACTCATTTTAAAGGTCTCGACACGCCAAGTTCATATATTTAACTTTGAGAATCTTTGAACGAAATCTGGCTGAGTTATGGTTGATTTTCAGTTGTAGGATGTTCGGACTAGGCTCAGAAAATCCATCGTACCTCGGTCAAATTCTGCCAGAACTATTTTTTCAATTCAGAATTTAAATTTTGTGTGTTACAAGTTTTGAAATAAGTACAAACACGATTATATTCTTTTAAACTGGAAACTTGACCCTTTAAAGGCGCATAGGGGGTCCAAAAATCGATTTTAAGGAAAGTGGGTCATGATTATACTCATTTTAAAGGTCTCGACACGCCAAGTTCATATATTTAACTTTGAGAATCTTTGAACGAAATCTGGCTGAGTTATGGTTGATTTTCAGTTGTAGGATGTTCGGACTAGGCTCAGAAAATCCATCGTACCTCGGTCAAATTCTGCCAGAACTATTTTTTCAATTCAGAATTTAAATTTTGTGTGTTACAAGTTTTGAAATAAGTACAAACACGATTATATTCTTTTAAACTGGAAACTTGACCCTTTAAAGGCGCATAGGGGGTCCAAAAATCGATTTTAAGGAAAGTGGGTCATGATTATACTCATTTTAAAGGTCTCGACACGCCAAGTTCATATATTTAACTTTGAGAATCTTTGAACGAAATCTGGCTGAGTTATGGTTGATTTTCAGTTGTAGGATGTTCGGACTAGGCTCAGAAAATCCATCGTACCTCGGTCAAATTCTGCCAGAACTATTTTTTCAATTCAGAATTTAAATTTTGTGTGTTACAAGTTTTGAAATAAGTACAAACACGATTATATTCTTTTAAACTGGAAACTTGACCCTTTAAAGGCGCACAGGGGTCCAAAAATTGAACTTAAGGTAAGTAGGTCATGATTATACTCATTTTAAAGCTCTAAAAAAAATAAATGCAGTTAGCTACAAAATTTGTTCGAAAGAATTAATTTTTAAAGGCGCATGGAAGAATTCTAGCCATGCTTGTACTCATTTTGAAGTTCTTTCTGTTAGAAAAGGGATCTTCTGGAATTCTTAAGCTAATGGAAAATCCTAGAAGTGACCCATAAAAAGAGACGGCTCCAAAAAATCATGACCCTTCTGGAAAAAGTCATTTCCCTTCGTTTTTCCCAAGATGTAATGAGAAATAGAAGGAATTTCATTAGGGCAAATGCCCTCCATCATGATTTGTGGACGAAAAAAACGCCGCCGGTCCAGAATCTTCAGAAGACGTTGACGATGACAAAAAGGAATGTCTTCTGGAGCACACACACAAAGAGCAAAAATTGAGAGAGAGAGAGAGAGAGAGAGAGAGAGAGAGAGAGAGACAGGATGAGGAGATAACGGAATTTCGCACATCTTCTACTTTTTTTTTCTTCACACAATGCTTAGGAGACACGAAATAAATTGAATTTCAAAAAGGCGCCGAGCACCCCGAATTTATTCTCCCGAGAAAATAAAAATGAAGAGTTTTTTGGGTTAACAAAGTTTTAGTTTTTTTCCAAGGGGAATTTCCTTCACAAGAAAAGAACAAGGTTCAATTTCAAGACATGGATCCCAATGAATTTTGAAACATCACTTTTCAAGACTTGCGTAGCTCAATTCTGGCGCTGGATTCGTTTCTAGCGCCTTCGATTTAGTCTAGTCTCAAATTTTCAGATTGATTCCTCAAAGTGTCGTAGAATATGATGTTCCGGGTGTTTGCGTACTTTTCGTGCTACCGTAACCCCGAAAACTCAAAAGTACCGCTAGACGATTCTAGAAAAACCCATCTAGACTATTTTTTTATGCTGAATCCAAATCTGCTATCCATTTGTTACTGATCCAAATGAGAATCCTGGAAACTCAAAAAATGTCAATATGTCAATTTTGGCTTATCCACTTTCGGGTATTTTCTAGCTAAATTTTAATGCCCGATTCATTTTCAGCACCCTTGATTTACCCTAATTACAAATTTTCAGATCGATTCCGCAAACTGTCGTGGAATATGATGTGCCGGGCGTTTGCGTACTTCTGGTGCTACCGTAACCCGGAAAACTCAAACAATTCGCTAGAAGGTTCTACAAAAACCCATCTAGACCAATTGTTTCGCTGATTTTGAATCTGCTGATCATTTTTCTCTGATCTTTATGAAAATCTTGAAAACTCACAGAATGGCGCTACAGTAATCCAACTAGGTCGAAAATGAAGCAAGAAAAGCTTATTTCAAGCTGTTTTCGATTATTTTAGACTGGAAACTTCTGGAATCATCACAAAACCAACTCTAGAAAAAAATTTGGCTTCCTTTCTAGAAATTTCAAAATCTCTGATGTCAGTAGTTTTGGCTTCCTTTACGATTTCCAGAAAAAATTCAAAACATTGATATCACATTTATTTATGGCGTTTTTTGAATCGAGGTATGGGCAAGAAGCAATACAAAAAAGAAATATTAACAAAGAAAATAATGAGCACAGGGATATATTCTCAATAGAGCACCTTTAAAACGGAATTTTGAAAGTTTTGGAAAGTTTGAAAAAATGGAGCTCGCCCTATACTTTGAGCTCAATTATCTCGGTTCCTGTAAGAGATAGCAAGAAATAATCAACTGACAAAAAGTTGCTTATTTTATGATAAGTAATTTATCAGTTGACAAGTTTTTGATATCTTTTACTGGAGCCGAGATATATGAGCTCAAAGTTCAGAGGTCGGGAGCCGAACGTGTAGCTCAGCTAGCAAGCGTCGACTTGAGCCAATTTATCTCGCTTCTTATAACAGATATCAAAAATCTGTAAACTGATAAAATATTCATCACAGTATCAGAAATATTTCATCAGTTGACAATTTCTAGATATCCTACACAGGAAATGATATATGGGCTCAAAGTATAGGGCGGGTTTTAACGAAATAAAATTAATCAAAACGCATTTGTCGAGTTTTCATCGCGATAAAGTGCATTTTCTCCATTTCCACATCGTTTAGAGTCATCTCGGAAATCTGAAAAAAATCAATAATTGACTTTTCTAGCTCAAAATCCTACCTTTTGCACTATAAACTCCTCCTCCTTGATTTCAGCTGGCAGATTCCTCAACCTTGTCACAATCGCTGGCATATCAGGAAATTGCTTAATTTGTGACGGCGTCCCCAGACCGTATTTCAACAAAATCAACGAGACTTTGAATAGAATTTTGACGCCTTCACACAGGAACATATCCCAGACGCGGAGTACGGTAGGCCATGGAAGTGTACGGCAGAAGACACACATAAACCACTCGATCATGTATAGCGCCGGATCTACACCGTTCTGTTTCTGGAATAACGGGTTTTGGGTTATTATTAGCTCGATTTTGATATCCGTGTCGTTTTTAGCGACTCTGATTTAGCCTAGATTCAAATTTTCAGATCGATTCCTCAAAGTGTCGTAAGATATGATGTTCCGGGTGTTTGCGTACTTTTGGTGCTACCGTAACCCCGAAAAAAAACGCACAAAATGTCGATATGTCAATTTTGACTTTTCCTTCATTTTCTCAAAGAGAATTTTCGCACTTTTGGGTGGTTGCTAGCTCAACTTTGCTGTTAAATTCGTTTCTAGCACCATCGATTTAGTCGAGACTATATTGTTCAGATTGATTCTTTAAAGTGTCGTAAGTTTTGGTGTTTGCGTACTTTTGGTGCTACCGTAATCCCGAAAACTCAAAGTTATCGCTGGAAAATTCTACAAAAATTCATCTAGACCAATTTTTTAGCTGATTTCGAATCTGCTGTGTAGTTTTCTTTAATGCTGATGAAAATCCTGAAAACTTGCAACTGTTCGATACGTCAATTTTGACTTCTCGACTTTCTACTCATTACTAGCTCAATTCTGATGTTAAATTCGTTTCTAGCACCCTCAATTTAGTTTACATTCAAATTTTCAGATCGATTCCTCAAAGTGTCGTAGAATATGATGTATTCGGTGTTTGCGTATTTTTGGTGCTACCGTAACCCATAAAGCTCAAAAGTGTAGCTAGAATACTCTACAAAAATCCATCTAGACTAATTTTTCCTGCTTATTTCAAATCTGCTATCTATTTCGTTCTATTTCCAATAAAAATCCTGAAAACTTACAAAATGTCGATAAGTCAGTTTCGATTTTTCCTTCAACATCTTTACAAGAATATCTCCATCCACTTGTACTGCTTCCAAACCACTACTGTAGTATCCGGGCAGATATTTATGACAGATTTGGACAAAACAGTAGAAGGCGTCACGAACTGGCATGTGCATCAGAAGAACCGCAGCTATCGGGGCCTGTCCTTGACAGTAACCCTCTTCCGGATGAAGGACGGTCCAGGCTTTGAGCAAATCGAATAGGTCGTTTTTTCTGAAAAACACTCGTTATTGTTTCAATTAGAAAAATTCGACTTTCAGAATTTCAGCTTTTTAAAACTAACCCATTATTTCCAAACTTTCCAACTCTTGCAAACATCTCGTGCTCCGGGAATTGCCTGCTTAGATCCTTCTGAATATCCTCATTCCATTTTGGATCGCCCGCTTGTTTCACACAGTACTGAAAATGTTAACGTTTTGAAATTGCAAAAAAATTCCTAATTTTCCAGAAGTAATTGATCCTAATTGGCTCAATTTGCAATCCTGTACGAAAGCAATTCAAACTTTTTCAATTGTCCTGAAATTTTCAGATCATACTAATTAAAAATAAAGCTTCATTTTTGTAGTTGACAACTATTTTCTAACTACCGTCGTTTTTGAAATATGCGCCTTTAAAGTTGGCGCGCTCCCCCCTCCCATGGCGCCAAGTGGAGAGGCGCGCCATTTTCAAAGGCGCATATCTCAAAAGTTACAGTACCTACCAAAAAGTGGTTAATTACAAAAATGTAGAAAATAAAAGATAAAATATTTTAATAGTTTCGGTATTTCCGTAGCATCATTGAATTTTGAGATATGTGCCTTTAAAATGGGCGCTCCTTCTTTCCGCCTGGTGCCGCCACCAGTGGTGCGCCAAGAGGGCGCGCCAACTTTAAAGGCGCATATCTCTAGAAGGATGATAGCAATAAAAATGTTGTCAACTGCAAAATTGCTCAGCATGAAAATTGACATATTTTCGTAATTTACTAATTTCTGCTAGCTACCGTAGTTTTTGAGAATTCCACCACAGTGGCGATGATATCAGATCTGCCGGTCTACTGGC